AGAAAATAAAGAAGACAATACAGAATTGTCTGAGAGAAAAGAAGAACTGAATATTGATATAAATAGAATAAGAAAGACAGATGAGTATTTAGGTAATAAAGTAATTGACTCTCGTTCTGATTTGATAAAAGCTCTAAATTGTTCATTTTGCAAAGAGACACATAGAAATGCTCAGTGTCCCAAATATAATACAGCAGAGAAGAGAAAGAAGAGAGCCTAAAAATTGAAACTTTGTTTTAAATGTTTAAGAATAAATTATAAAACAAAAAATTTTAAGACTAAATTAAGGCCTTGTTACTCCTGTAGTCAAAAGCATGATGTATTATTTTACAAAACTTGGAAAGAACAGAAACAACCTGTTAGTAGTTCCTTTTTATCTTATATAAATGGGTGTTCTAAAACCGAAGATTATCTCTCAGATCAAATTGATACCAGTGAAGATTCAAAATCAGTTCTATCCAATAGTAAGTATGATAGTCAGAAAGACGAATTAATATTGCATGGCTCATCGTATAATTGTGAAACAGTATCTCTTTCTTTACTTGTGGAAAAAAACAGAAGTTTTTCAATACCTAGAGAGATAACGATAGAAAATCATTGTCGTTTTTTTTGTAGAGCTAAAGTAGTAGCTCTTCTCGACACTGAAAATTAAAATTCCTTTATAGATAAAAAGTTGGCTAAAAGTTTGAGTTTGGAACCTACTGGGGTTATGACTAATTTAAAAATGAAAGATTTCGGTCCGAATTCTTTTTATAATTTTAAAACTTAGAAAGTGGAACTAATACTCATTGATTGCAAAGGTAATCCTATTAAGTTATCAGCTTATACAGTTTCAAATTTATCGAATAACATCCAAATGATTAAATTTCATCTACAATTATTGAAGGTAGAAAATGTGGAGAAGACAATGAAAAATACTTAGTGGAAACAGTTTATACTTCTTTTAAATAATTCATGTTTCTGTAGATTAATAAAGGGAATAAAAACATTAAAGTCAGGTTTTATTTTATATTGATACGAAATTGGGGATAATAATCGCTAGTCGACCTCCAACGAAAAATAAGAAAAATACCTTTTATTTAGTAGA